AATCCGAATCCAAACCGGGCTCCAAGTCACCAACTAAGGATTATGATCTTCCCTTTTCCCTGAAAGCCACCCAATCCAGACCACCAATGGGCGACCATTTGCTTGAGCCTCTGATGAGTTATGCTCACTTGCACCCAGTTGCACCTGATTATCACTTTCAAGTTGAATTTCTGGGCTCACCGAAAATGGCCCCCAATAGTCGGACGCCTGGAACCCATGAAGCCCATGTGAAAGCCCATGAGAACAAAACAACATGCGATAGCAGCTTCACCCATCGTCGTTCTTCGGGTTGGACGGTTGGACCCCTCCAAATTCTGGGGTCTTTGGCTTCCAAGAAAAACACCCCGTTAAAAAAAAAAAGTCCTTCAAACAAAGGCCCAAATTTGTTGAAACCTGCCTAGGTCCTCCAGTAGAGAGGTTAGAATAAGTTGGTACCCGATTGTTTTTCTTCTTTTTCTGTAGTCCATTTTAGTAGGGGAACCCTCCCCAAACAAAAGGTAAAAGGGCACTACTGGGGGACCCAGCTGCTCTTGCCGGCCCATGAAAACCGTTCGTCTCCTGGCGGAGCGAAGCGGTTGCCATGTCCGCCAGCAGGCCCAGCGCGTGCTGCCACTGCCGAGCCAAGGAGCAGGCGCTGAGAGCCCCGCTGTAGCCTGCGAGCTCAAACCCGGCCGATGCCCCGGAAGCTTCCCTCCCAGTTCACATGGAACTCCTAGGTTTTTCAGTAGAGGTTGGATCGAAGAAGTTGGTACCCGATGTGTTTTTCCTGTTTTGTCTATTTCAGTAGGGGAACCCTCCCAACCAAACAAGAGGTTAAAACGGGCACTACCGGGGACCTAGGAACCCTTCGACGTTGTTTTTTGGGGTCCTTCTTTTGGGTATGGGCCATTTTCCTTCGACCGGGTCCCGAACCTCAGGTTCCATGTTGACTGGGGGGCTGCCTTCCCATCAAGAAATGGAACCTGACATTGGGGCATTGGGGGGGGGGTTCCTGAAAGGCGCTTTCAAGTTCCATGAAAATTGGTGGGAGGGCACCGCATCCTTCCAAAGCACAACATGGTCCCTCGTAACGGTACCCTCCCACAGGTGCTATGTTAGTGGAAGGAAGTGTAAAGCAAAAACCACATATTCTGAAGAATCAAACATGAACCCAACAAATACCAAGAACCTTGAAGAATAAAACATAAATTCCCAAACATGCCAAAGGAACAATGAACTTTCTTGGCCAACCTTGGACATCGACATCTTCCCACATCTTCCGACTTGCGCAGGCCGCCGCTCTTGCGCAAGCCGGCCGCTCTTGCGCGCCGAGGCGCCCAGCAGGTCGCGCTGGAGCTGCGACAGGTCCAGCTGGCGCAGCAGCCCAAAGGCCGCGGCCCAGGCGCTGCCTTTGGCGCAGCAGCTGATGGCTGCGTTGAAGACCACCTCGGGTGAGAGGGCGGAGCCGGAGCCGGGGTGGGGCGAACCGCGGAGCCAATTTGGCAAATTTGGAGGTACAGTGGAAGCCCTAAATATTGCAAGCGCCACCAATGCACATGTTGACACCATTTCTGTGGCATCGCCCGCTGCGTGCGGACCTCTCTCCCCAGTTACAATGTTGAAGCCAAGCCCGTAACCCGTCTTCCGAGGCCCAATGTATTGCAAGTTCAACATTGTATCAGGGGAAGGGGGGCCACAGATATCATGTCACAGTGCTTCCCTTAGTGGACCGTGCCCTTTGTTTTTCTGCTCCGCACTTGCAATATTTAGGGCTTCAACCGTCTCGCGTAGACTGTCCATCGTTTTTTTGCGTCCGCGGCCGTCGCTCCGCACCGTCTCTTTGTCTGCGTGCGAAGACTTTGGAGAGACTTGCCTTGCTCAGCCCCCACACGTGTGCAACCTGGGGTTTGGAGACGCCTGCCTTTGCACAGACA